GACGCGGGTCCGCGAACCCACCGCGGAGAGAAGGTACACGCCCTCCAGGCTCCTGCCCGCCCTGCACTGCCCTGGCTCTGTCTCTTCCCCGCCCGCCCGACCTGCTGCACGCGGCTCTGCACCACAGATTGCTTGGTTAATGCATTGCTTCTGCCGGGTGGGGAGGAATTCTTGGCTCCACAATCTCCTTTCATCCTTTGATTTATTTTGCAGCTTTTTAAAGCTTTGAGGCCACTCCCACCCCACTCTGTGGTTCTGAATAGTCTTCAAAGTGAAGCTAATTCTTAGAAGCCCTTAGGCATCAACCTTAGGGAGGCCCTCTGGAGGGTAAAGAGGGAGTGGGTGCTGGGAGACCTCCCTCCAGTACAGCTGGCCTGGTGCAGGAGGAAAGGGAGACCCCGGCCGCAGGCTGTGTGGGTTTGAGCTGAGGACAAGGTGCTTCTAACCCAAGGTGCCTTTTAAGTTCATATGAGTTTCAAATCCTTAGACACGTTGAATGTCTGGAGTGTTACCTGCTCTCAGGTTGTAGGTTTCAGGATTCTATGAACTTTTCTAGAAAGTTTCTCCAGTGTATTTTGAGTGAACACACAGCTTTGAGGCTGTGTCTAATTGAGGACCTAGATGTTGTCTAGAGACTTAATAAAATATAAACTCTAGACACAGTATCATGGCATTAAAATAGTTGTATAGCCCTAAGAAGCCTCCCTGGCTAGGGCAGCATAAATATGCCAAACTAGGCAGTGCCCATGGCAAAGGTAGGAATATAGGGGCTGAGAAGAGCTTGTCAGTGAATTGATCAAACAATATTTGCAGATTACGGCATTCATTCAACAGTATTCGTTGGGTGCCCTAGGCTCATAATAGAATCTGAGAGGATATTCATACAAAAGCATTAACAACAACAAACAAACATTTACAGGAAAAACAAAAAGTGTTAGATATAATCTCTGTGCTTAAGAAAGCTATAATTTAGAAGTCAAGCCAAGTTAATGCCCATCCCAGGCAGGGCCTGAGCCTGTTAGGTGGGTAGTCTAGCCTCTCTTATCAGTTGCAGTTCAGACTTCAGCACGGATGGCCACCCGTTCCCACTGTGGCTAGATGGTTCGTGAGAGTCCTTCCTCAGCCCACTGCTGTAAGCTGTCCCTGCCACTGACTGGATGTGGAGAGGAGATACAACCCACCCAGCCTCCCTGCCACATGCTTTTGACCTGGTCAGGAGGGGACCATTGCACAGAGAAGATGCTTTAGCTGAATTCTGAGGAATAAACCACGTTTGGGCTGATAGAAGAGAGAAGAAGAGAGCCGAGAGTTTCAAGGCTTGGCCTGGCCTGTCAGTGGGAGAGTAAAGAGAGGGACCAGCTGGGAGAGAGTGCTTCCTTCTCTCTCTTCCTGTGTAGAAACCTGAAGACCCTCCAACATCACTCGACACTCGGAGGGTCTGCCACTACTGAAGGCTGAGGGCTTATCATGTGTTAGCTCCTTTCATTCCAGACACACCTCATAGTAACATAGCTCCCCAGTCCCTTATATGAAATACTTATGGTCAGTGCATTTTAGAATTCAGAACTGTTCAGATTTTAGAAAGGTAATTCACGGCATATTTCACACTTTAATGACATTCCTTCTCTGGTGTGGGGCAGCATCCCATAATTAAACACATTTTTATGTCTGCAGTGAAGCATATGGATTTCACATCACGTAGGGTAAAAGAGACCATGCCTGTTAAAGTCAGATTGGCTGCCCCAATGAGTTTTGACACCAAACTGATAAAAACATTAAAAGAAAAAGAAAGAGAAAAACTCAGTTTTCAAAACTCTTGCTTTCAGGATTGCAGATTTATAATAGCTGAGGTTTGTTGAATGCCTGTCCTATGTCAGGCACTGTTCCTATCGCTTTACACTGACAACCCTATGAAATGGCCGCTAATATCCTTATTTTAGAGGTGAGGAAATGGAGGCCCAGGGAAGTGGGGTAATTTGTCCAAGGTCTCACAGCTAGTATGCAGGAGTTAGGATTCAAACCCGGGGAGCCATGGCTATCAGGACCTGATGAAGTAGATGTTACACATAAGGAATCCGAGGTTCTAAGATATTAAATGACTAGTCAGAGTCCTAAATGAAGCCACAGAAAAGCTGAGATTTGAAGGTGCTGCTGACTCCCAGATCCCTAGAGTACTCAGGAACTTCTCTTCCAGCCATTGTGGTTGAGAACCTAGAAAAGCTGCCCAGGGAACAGGCTCTAGTTGGCTGCCGGCCTGGGCTGCAGGCTTTCCGGCCCATGCGTTTGGCAGCAGGAAAGTTTTCTCTTCTAACTTATTGACAAGGGGCCAGTTACTGTTTACTATGAAGTTCCTACAAGTTTTTATCATGCTCTTGTAATTTGACAGTTTCAGATGAAATAATCCAAATATTAGCCTGGGAGGCCTGTGCTGCTGAAAAATGTCACGCTCTTCCCGGCTGATGAAAATCGCATTTGCTTATGTTTATCAGTGATTAGGAACTTGCATAGTATATATGACCCCAGAAGAAACGTCAGTGTGTTCTCTGGATGGCTGTCTGCCTCATTCTCTGTTTCAGGTTTGAGGTTTGAGGTGGAGGCTGTTAGGGCTTAGATGTTTAAGAAACTGTTAGGTTGTTATGCTAGGCAACTGAAAACTTAATTGGAGTCACATAACAAATAAAACAAAACTATTCAACCTTCTAACAAATATTTATTAAGCATCTACTATGTTGTAAGGCTCTGGGACACAAAGGTATAATAAAAACAGGCTGGAGGCATCAGGCTCTTACCGACAGGCTAGAACAGCTGCTGGCAAACTTTTTTTTTTTTTTAAGGCATAAGAATTATGCTCTTGTAATTTGACAGTTTCAGATGAAATAATCCAAATATTAGCCTGGGAGGCCTGTGCTGCTGAAAAATGTCACGCTCTTCCCGGCTGATGAAAATCGCATTTGCTTATGTTTATCAGTGATTAGGAACTTGCATAGTATATATGACCCCAGAAGAAACGTCAGTGTGTTCTCTGGATGGCTGTCTGCCTCATTCTCTGTTTCAGGTTTGAGGTTTGAGGTGGAGGCTGTTAGGGCTTAGATGTTTAAGAAACTGTTAGGTTGTTAATGCTAGGCAACTGAAAACTTAATTGGAGTCACATAACAAATAAAACAAAACTATTCAACCTTCTAACAAATATTTATTAAGCATCTACTATGTTGTAAGGCTCTGGGACACAAAGGTATAATAAAAACAGGGCTGGAGGCATCAGGCTCTTACCGACAGGCTAGAACAGCTGCTGGCAAACTTTTTTTTTTTTTAAGGCATAAGAATTCTTTGTGCAAAATCAGTCTTAGACGGAGTTTCAATTTGTAACAGACAAAAGCTGAGCTGCTCTGTTTGAAGTTTTAGAGACATCACTATAAAAACCTGGGGACTAGCTCTAGCCAGTTTGGTTCAGTGGATAGAGCGTTGGCCTGTGGACTGAAGGGTCCTGGGTTCGATTCCGGTCAAGGGCACATACCTTGGTTGCAGGCTCCTGGATCTGGTAGGGGAAATGCGGGAGGCAACCAATCGATGTGTCTCTCTCACATCGATGTTTCACTCTGTCTCTCTCCCTCTCCCTTCCATTTTCTCTAAAAAATCAATGGAAAAAATATCCTCGGGTGAGGATTAAACAACAACAACAACAACAACAACCAAAACCTGGGGACTAGATACAAAGCGGGCAGTGGTTTTTAACCTTGGCTGACCATTAGAGTCCTTTGCCTACTTTTTAGAAATCTTGACACCCTGGTCACATCCCAAACCAACATCTGAGTCTCTAAGGGTTGTACTTACCGTAGACATGGAAAGAATCCAGCCAAGGTTTGGAATCATAGGTCTGGAAGTATCTTGGGAACTTTTCAAGGTTCCATGGAAAAGAATTTGGGAGTCAAATACTGTCTAGTAGAATATTCCAGGTTTAGTGAGCACATATAAGCATCACTTGCAGTGGGGTGGGGACTATTGTTAAAAGTAGAGCAGTCTAGTCCCCACCATCTCCCCTGCCTAATGGGGATTGTTTTATAGTCCATGGTGTGATCTAGGTAACTTCGTTTACATGATTCTGACAGACTCCAGAGTTTCAGAACCAGTGCTCCAGAAGGTTAGAAGAGGCATGGATGTAAATGCTTTCCTTATGGGCTTGTATGATGAAGTAGTAATGGGAATGATAGTGGCTACCATTTGGAGCATGTCTTCTGTACAGGCACTACATCAAATGCATTATAACACAGGTCCCTCAACCCCGAGAGGCAGATACAGAGATGCACATGTACCACAGGTCCCTCAACCCCGGGAGGCAGATTCACATTTCACAGAAGGGAAACGGGCTCAGAGGAATGAAATGAACTGCTCCAATCACCCCCTTCAGAAGCAGCAGAACCAGAATTCCACAGAGGTCTGTCGGAATCAGACACTAAAGTCCTTTTCACGGAAATGGTTATTTTGGAAGTGAGGCAGCCTACTTCCAGCAGGTGTGATCAGAAAAGCTGCTGGAAGGTTGGACAGTTTGAGCCACACCCTGAAAAGTGGGTGGATTTGGCCCTGAAGGCTTAAAAAGAACTTCATCTCTTTTTGCTATGTTCAGCGCTCTTCATCAGCGAAATCTTTGCCTCTAGTCCTAGGCACCAGGGGGATTCAAAAAATTGGAAACACAGTCCCTATTCTTGGGGGCCTGAT